ATATTTTATATCTTTATTTTCAGAAATTCTTTTATAAAGAAAGTCTAAATTCTTATTTTATTCGCTTACCTTAAAAGAAAATATTTTGACCCAAAATATTTTTAGCAACAAGATCTCCGCATCTTTTAGGTTTTGGAAAGTTAGAATTCTTTTTTAAAGGCTAAAGATTACACTTTCTAAAACGGGATCTCCATCCCTCTATATAAAACGTTAAAACGTTTTCTTTTAATGAAAATGTGAGTATTTTCTTTAAGAGTAAGAGTTAATTGGATAAATGTTTTTAATCTCTCAAAGCTCTCTCTTAACCCCTTTATTTCTTTTCGTCTTTTTGTTTCACGAAATATTTTTAAGACAAAAGAAAATTTTATAACAACATCTTTTGAAAAATAGTTCTATTTTTTAAATCGATTTTCTAAACTTGATTTCTGTTTTTCTTATGCTTATATTTGCATTTTTTTATGTCTATATAGATTCTGTAATTTGTTGTAGACAAACTTTTTAATTAAAAACTTTTGTGTAATATGTTAGGTGAGAAGCTATGGTGGAATAGGTTATCAAGCGATCTTCTCCTTGTGTTCTCCTTGTGTGAGATTCTAATGTATTGATTTGAGTTTCTATTCTCTGCAAAAACAGAAAGGGTTGAGGTTGACTAGAACCTTTGGAGAATCTAGTGGACCAAAGGGTAGATCTAGATTTTAATCTATTGTCTTGTAATGTTGGTTTATCTCTTACCTTTGAAAAGAGATAACATAGTGGATGATCTCTAGATGAGTCTTGGGGATTGGCTGTAGGTGAGTTAGTGCCAAACCACTATAAATCACTGTGTTTATCTTTTTATTTTCTTTTTATTTTCTAAAGTTCTGCTTGATTCTATTTTATTTACACAACTGTAATCTTTTAGAAATGCAAAGTTGTTAATGAATTTCTAGTTCTAAACTTGTGTAAGCTTTATCTTTATTGAACATTATAATTCTAGATTTTTATATTGTGATTATACCAAGTTTTAATATGTTCTTCTGTATTCAGTATAAATCACAACTTGAATTTTAATCAGTTTTTTTTTTTTAATATTGCTTAAAGCTTTGTGCAGCAGTTTTAAATACAATAATTGTTTTTCACATAATCTTTTCAAACTAGCAATAAGCTTTGTGAAACGATTCTAAAAATAATAATTGTTCTTCGCAGAGTTTTTCTAAAGTAACTTAAGTTTTGTGAAGCAGTTCTAAATTTAATAATTGTCTTTCACAGAGTATTTCTAAACTTGCAATAAGCTTTGTGAGAAAATTATAAACTTGATAACTCTCTTTCACAAATACTTTCTATTTCCGCTGCAACAGAATTCTGATTTTTTTTTGAAAGTTTAATTTTTGGAAAACCCAATTCACCCCCTCTTGGGTTGTGCCATATATAAATGGGACCCACAAAATTTTTTAAAAAATAAGATTTCAAATAGAACATATATAATATTTTATTTAGGAGAGAGATAATATTTTATAATATTTTTCTTCATATTTGTGAATTTGATGGTATTATTTTTTTAAAAAAAAATAAATTCTCAATGGATACACATAATTTTACCCTTTCCAAAAATTTTAAATTTCTTACTTTTCAAAATTATTTTTAAATTAAAATGACTATTGTGCGTGGATTAGCGAATAGTTATAATTTTAATTTTAAAATATATAATTTTTATTAATATATTTATATATATTAATTTTTTTATTAGGTTGAGTTCTGAAAGAGTTGTTATTCTTAATACGGTGTTTTTATTTTCTTTTTTTCGTTACTGAATAATTTGTAACTATTATCATTTTAATTTAGTAAAATATTTACATCTCCCTTGCAATAAATAGATGACCTCTGGATAATTCAGCATTTTTAATTTTCTTGATATTTCTTTCTCTTATAGCCTAAATCTATTTGACTTGAAAGAAATAGTGTATAGGAAACTGAAAAAAAAAAATTAGGACTATATGTTTTTGTTTTAGATCACTTTTTAGGATTCAAAAATTTGTATATATGTGTATATATTATTTTCTCTAATACACTGGGTAAGTAAAACTGCTACTATAGCCAAAATAATTACCATTATCAATTTAGTTTGAAACTACTTTATTATATAAAAATGAAATTAAATACATAAAAAATATCATTATAAGTACCTTGTAAAACAAAGTGCAATACAAATTAACCATTTGTATTTATTTTAATTTAACAAAAACTTATATTTTAATATTATATATATAAAAATATAGGATATAACGAGTATAGTCAACGTGCAACACACGTCATAAAAAAGATTAGTACTAGTACTATATAATTATTGTCTTTGTGAAATTTAAAATATTCCTAAAGTAACTTTAGTTTTAAGCCAATTTTAAAAAATTAACTTATATAATATATTAATTATATATATATATATAGTATATATATATTTCTATACTTATTGATCTTTGTTTAACTTTTTTAATAGCATAAATTACATATAGATAATTAAGCATTTAAAATTTTAAATTTTACTTATTATTATTCTTATTATATGTCTATTATATTTTATTTCATTTTATTTTATTATGTAATTATTAATAATAATTTAATAATTTTGAATAATTTTATATTATTATCTATTATTATAATTTTGCTTCAACATTATTATTCTTATAATTAATATATGAAAAAGATTTTTTAAAAAAATATCTTTTTAAACATCTCGAATTTGATTAGTTATTATTACATCTTATTTAAAGCAAATCCTATTTCTATTTAAAGAATATTACTTTTATTAATAAATTTTTTAAAAACGGCTTTCATGATTTTGGATGGCTCATAAAAATTTAAAAATAAAAATGTATTATTATTTATAAGATATTTAATTTAACTTAGGAGTATTGATTTTTATTGCTATTGTATGTTAAAGTATATTTATTTACTAAAAAAGATTATAGTGAAAGTTATTAACAAAACATACAAGTTAATTATAAAGCATATAATAAAAACTATGAGACGATTTAATCAATTTGGTTTTTCCTTAAAAAAAATGAAAGTAATTAACGTGTAATAAAAATTGTATGAATCATTATGTTGAATGATACATTTCATATTTAAATTGCTATTTGAAAGAGAAAAACAAATATATTGATAAGTGTTGTTTTTATAGTATTTTTAATATAATTTTTATTAGGATTTTTAGTATTTTTAATTACTTTAATTAGTTTTCATTTAGTTTTATTTAGTTTTCTATAAGCTTGCATTGAATTCATATCATATTTCACTTGATCTTAAAGAATTTTGCAAGATTTTTATAGGAAACTAGCCAAAAATGCAAAAAAAGATCAATTGTCATAAACTTCCAGCAAGTAGCAGCCTCATGGCATGCTACCTAGCACTCTCGTGCTATCCTGCAGATCAACTTAAGCCGAAACTTCATATTAAGCCTGTGTTGCCCACATGAAGATATTGTAGGTCATATCTTATTAAAGCTGAAATCTTATTTAGACGTTGGGAGAGTCCTAATTGGGAAGAAATATAAAGCCTAAATAGTTTCCTATCTCTAAAAGATTTCTTACTCAATAGACTTTCCCTAGACAACACAAAGATATTCAGAAAGTCTATTAATTGAGTTGGAGACTAGCCATGATCAAGGTCGGAATCCATTCCTGTATATTCCATCTCTTGTCAATTACTTTTCTAGATAATCTTTCTCTCTTTCTTTAAGACTTCAAGTATTCAAGTTCGGTGGTCAAGATTCAAGGAAGCCGCTTAAGCCAATTGTGGACTAGTTTTCTATTTCTAAACTCTCTTTTTTGTTTATTATTTCGTTTATGAGATTATTTAACAAGTTTAATTGAGTGTATTTAATTACTATGTCGAAACTAATTCATTATTTATGGGATTTGATGTAGTTTGATGTAGCTTAATTTCGATTTCAATTTATAATATTATATTTATTTTTCCTTATTCATGATATAATTTATTATTGAACTTAATGCTTCCAGAGAAAGTTTCTCCCATTAATTGATTTATTTCATTAATCACTATCGGGAGAAGGGTTTTGATATGAAAAAGGTAATAAATTACATGAGAATGATAACTTAATGCGGAAGCTATATGGTTTGACTCATGGGGGTTTTCATATGTTAACAACCGTAGATTATGAATTCAAAAGCAAACCATAAAACTTAATGATTTAATTCATGTTTGATTGCGCTATTGAAAGATAAATAATTAGACCGGGTTAAAATATCTAACAATACATCGGGAGAGCTTGTTAGTGATTTTAGAGTTGTTTCCCCTACTTGAACAATTAAAATTGTTAAAATTTGATTATCCAAACTAATCAAAATAAATCACATAGAATTAAGCGAGTCTTCCTAGTAGCTTTTAATCATTGTTTTCTTTTTGAACAATTACTTTATTTATCACTTTATTTTTATTTCTTTTAATTCTTTTTAAATCACTTTTATTCTTTATTTTATTTTTTAAATTCTTAGATTATATTCCCCTTATTATCGTTTAAATAATAGTATGTTAACATAATTTTGATACTTGGTATACAATTCCCGTGGGAACGATACTCTACTGACTCTTTATTATTTGTTTGTGATTTTCGTACAATTGTGAAAAAGCCTGTCATATATCATTTTTTTCAATGACATATTACAGTTTAAAACATATAATCAAAAAAAAAAAACTTACTGTACATATAAAGTGTAACATAATGTAATTATTGTATTTATTACAATCTAAATAAGAATTTATAATTCAATTGTATATAAATAAAAAAAATTAAATGAGTATTAAAAAATGAGCATATAATGATGATAGTCATAAAATAGACTAGTATTATTGAGTGAGCAGACTAGTAATATGATATTGAATGTCAAAAAAAAAGTAATATGATATTGTTATTGTTTAATTTGTTTCGCACTATATTTGTATCTTACCAACGTAACCAAAACTTAATTAATAAGCATTTATTAAATCAAATAGTTTTGCAAAACTTAATTAATAAGCATTTATTAAATCAAATAGTTTTGGAAGATACAAGGAAGACATACATAATACGAACTTTTCAATTACACCAATAATCCGAAAGACACTACTTAGTACCAATACTTCATTTTTCTATCAAAGAGTCTAGGCCTATACGTGGATACGAAAATCTCAACAAGTAGAGGAAACTGTAAAAATATAAAAACAGTAATGGGAATACTCGCCAACAAAATTATAGGAATGATTAGTTTCAGATCTCCATCTAGCATTATTATGAGAGTAGCACAAAATGATATCATCATGGCTGCAATGGAAAAGAAAAGGGTAGAAAGACCCATGATCATCTTTCTTGGCAATGATTCAAGAAAATCTTCTTCTGCATAACGTGAAGTCAAGACTCCTAAAAACATTAATACTGAAGTTGAGGAGGCAAATAGAGAAATTGCATCAGCTACTATGAAAACCTTGAATGCTTTCTTATGTAAAAATATTGGAAATCCAGTATCTTGAATGTTGCCACCGGGAACAGTAAATGCGGTAGTAAACATAATTGTAATAATAAGAGCACCTACGACTGTAGAAGATGTTGCAATTCCTTTCATCCATTTCTCTCCTTCCTCCTTTAATTCCTTGTGGCTTTTTGTAAACAATTGGCTAGGGGTATACTCTTCTTCATTGACATATTGTTTTAATGTAGGATCCACAATACTTTCTACCTCCTACATTGAAATCAAAATTATAAAGGGTGAGCATAGTGCCTAAATATAATATATTATAAAGTTTATAAAGTTAAAACTAGATCGTTTAATTGTTATCATAGAAAATTTTTTCGTAAGCTATGTTTACATCCTTCTCATGAAATACAATCTAAATTTCCTCACATAATGTGTAACTTATAAAATTTATTTTGTGTTTATTAGAAATGATCCATTTGATTGTACCCTTTTTCCATTTCAAGAATTTGTGATTCTAGAATATATTCTAGGAATTGGCTTCCCATTTTGAATACAGGGAGCTAAGGATACAATTACAAGATGAGACGAACAATTTTTTTTTTTCTTTTTTTCAAATTTGAATTATTCTTAGATACTTAGGAGGATTATGTTATTACAGGTTCCATATTAAGATTCTTAGATACTTAGGAGGATTATGTTATTACAGGTTCCATATTAAGTAATATACAAATATGAATGTATGTCTTAATAAGTCGTAAAGAATTACCTTATACCATTGTAGCTCTCTTTGCATTTGCAAAGCTGGACTTGAAATATGAGCAAGTCTGTGTGCAGGTGCTAACATTCCTGCCATATGTAACGTGTTATTTCTATCCTCGTCAAATGAATTAATCAGCAAACCCTTCCATTTTCCAACTGCATATATAATGCTGAAAACTTTTTCTTGTCGATGTTCAATAGCATATTCAATTATGCCTCTTAATTTGATGTTTACAATTGTGATGATAGAAGGATTAGCTTTTAGTATCTCAATAACAATTTCAACTATCCCACTTTCAGTAGCAGTAAATAAGGCTTCATCTATTCCTTTTTTTTTGATATCTTGATTTTTGGTAATCGAAGTGCCTTCAAATATACAACGTATAACTTGGAGAGCATAGATGTGTGTCAACTTCATATCATAAATTTGCTTCAATCCTTCAATGAAAAGCAAATAGAGATAATTAAGAATGATAACTTCAAATCAATTAAAGAAATTAATGAAATAGAGAATTGGATTTTGGTTAATTAATAATTTTTCCAATCAAACTAACATCAATTACAACAACATTAGCATAGTAAAAAAAAAGCAAAGACATCACAAATTAAAGAAAGGCTAAAAAAAAAAAAAAAAAAAAGAAAAACTTCAACTTTGATTTTTTTTTAAACATGGTCGATGCTTTTAATTTTATCAATTGTGGTACTCAACTTATTTTTTTATAGTAATTATAGTCTCCATCCATTGTCGACACTTTTTAATTTGGCTCCATCCATTCACTAGCTTGTCACTTATTCTTCTCTATTGAATATTATTTTTGTATTTATTATTATTTTCTCTATCTATAAAAATTTAATGACATTTAGTATTATTTATTTATTATAATATTTGAGTATTATGTTTTTATTCAATAATAATCAATCGTTTCTTAACACAATAATAATCAATCGTTTCTTAACATTGAAATTTTAAAAATTAAATTGTAAAATATTTTTAATTTTTTCATCTAAAACTTTGGATTTTTAGAAAATTTATTATTAACAAAAATTTTTAATGACTTAATAAGAGAGATTTGATAATTGGAACAATTTTTCACATTGTGAACCAATAAAAAGAAAAATAAATTTTTTAAAAAATAAATTTTAAAAAACAAATAATCAAAAACTGAAAACTGTTTCATATCTCTAATAAATAAAAACTCAAACCAGACAACTATAATAAATAGGGACTAAGCTTTTCTGATATGATGATATAGTACTTAAGTGGTGATACGTGAGTCCATTAATGACCACATCGAACTATAGTTATAACTTATAATTGCTAAAAAAAGTTAAATTCAATATGAAAAGTGCATAATATCATCAAAATTTGTAAATATTAAAACACAATAAATCTCTTCAAATTGGAATTAGCTTACCAAATATGTCTTTGACACTTGAGCCTAGACTTTGGAGCCCTGCAAATACTACAAAATTCAAAATTGAGTCAAATGAAGTCATATTTCATTTATTCTGAAAAAAAAAAGTTAATATTTCAATTATAAAAGGAATATTAGGCAAGAGTATAACAAATTAGCAATAAATTTCTTTGGGGCGTAAGAGTATAACAGAATAGCAATAAATTTCTTTGGGCGTAAACTTATAAAAGCTTAATGGCAACAATGTTTAAATATTTTTTCCAAAATTTTAATTATAGTAATGATTTAGTTAGATTCCTAAATATGAGAAATTACTTATTTGATCCATATATTCTAAAAAAATAGTTTTCTAATATACTTTAAATGTTTTTATTTCTAATATAACAGCAATTGATTTTATACAATATATGATTCCAATATTACTCATTTTATAAGCTTTGTAATTGTTTGAGTCCACAAATTCTTTCATTTGGCATTTCATTGCATTTCATTTCTCTTTTCTCTTTAAACCTAAATTTAATACAAATTTTATCTTTTTATGAAATATAAATTTAAAATTATTTTTAATAAAAGAAAACTATAAAACTTTGCATTTATACATGGAGAAAGAAGCTGAAAAGGTATGGGAAAAGGGGTTTCTAATTAACTTATTGTCAATCTATTATAATTTTCTAATATAATTATAAATTTATTAACACATTCTATACATTATGTGTTAATCTCTCTTTCTATTCATTGAAATCACTTCTTTGAATATTGTTTTCTTTTTGTTATTTTTCATTTTTTTTTTCGTTTGTGGGGAGATACAATTGAAGCAATTTTTAAAGCAATTTTCAATTACAGAAAAATTTTAATTTTAGAATTTGAATATTTGAGATTTTTTTTGTTGCAATTTTAAAATGTTTAAAATGTAGAACTTTTGAATTTAGTGTATTCACAACAATAATTTCAGTGGGGCATTTCATAAATTACACATATTTCCTGGTAAGAAATTGAACCAAAGAACCGATTTATAAGTATATTTTTAAAACTTTTAGATGTATCATTTAGTTTATAACAACAATTATATTTTATGATTTAAAATCAAAACTTCATTACTATTGATTAATAAAAGTTAAGATGGTATGAGATAAAAAAATTGATACGTTATCATCTCTCATTAAATATCTAATAATTTACCAATATGATAATTAATAAATGTATATACAAGTTTTTAATATATTCAATATAATAATTTATGATCATAAATGTAGTTGGATTATAATTAATTTAATATAATAAATGTATTTAATTTAATATATAAGGAGAAAACTTAAATTTATATCAATTTTTGAATCTAACAATTAACATGAATATATATAAATAAGTATATACTATGAAAGAATTATATATCTATTGTTGTTTTTGGTTGCTCGACGAAGGCGACTTATGAAGAACTATAAGCTCTCCTAAAATTCTAAAATTTTAGCATTCATTTTTTTTGCTCAAGAAAATTTTATGAAATTAAAATTATATATTATATATATATTATAATTATCGTCTAATTAATTACTTTACTATAATATTTATATTGATTATCATAATTATCATTCATAATTATTGTTTATTATTATGAATGAAAATTTTATATTTAAAAGAATTGATGGTTAATGGTTAAAATATTTACTAATAGTTTTATTATCAATAAATATTCAAACGTTTCAACGTTTATTTGTCTTAATATTGCAATTATATAACTATCTTTATTAGTTTTAAAGGTAACATATTGAATTGCACGTCAATAACATATTACTAACCTATAAATCGAGATAGCTTTTTTAGATTTAGTAAGATTAATTTTTTAATTTTTTTTTTAAATTTGAAGAATTCTTACATAATTTTTTTCTGACCTTAAGTTTTATTTTCCTCGACTAATTTCTATTTTACTCTATCAAGTTAGGAAGAGTTTTTTAAGCCCTAAGAGAAACGATTTATATGAAATTATTATTAAGGACGATATATCTCTGTCTATGATTGAATTTCTATTATCTATTTCATTTTATTTATTTTATTATTTGTAGTATTGTCTAAAAAAAATTTTAATTCAAAAATAAATTAAATCAATGATTTTTTGAATATATATTTCCTTTCTTTCAATTTTATATAGCTTTTATACACAATTAGTCTAATGTTTGAATTTGAAATGTACATTCTTCAACCTCACTCTTAACAATTTTCAACAAAGTTAGAAAAAATATGAGAATTAAAAGATAATTAAAAATAATTTAGATTTGTAAATTTTTTCCTTAACTAAATTATATATTTTAAAATATTTAAACAATATCTCTAACATTATAGATAAAGATATTACATGTGCATAACACATGCATTTTACTAGTTGGTAGCTAGGTGTATAATATATATATATATATATATTTAAAAGAAACACTTCATAGCATTATCTTGAATTATAAAAAGATTACAAGAACTCAGAGACATAATCTCAAATTTGGATACAAGTAGGATTCTCTCGCTAAAGAATGAATCCCAACATTTGTTTGTCTCATAATCTATTTAGTACTAATACTAGATAGGCAACTTAAAATAGACTACAATCTCAAACAATTAAAACCTAATTCAGAAAAATCATTCTGTGAAAAATATAACGCTAAAATCAGGTTATATATACTCATTCTGTTTTATTTTGTTTGCTTGTTATTCATTTTTTGGATGTCCCAAAATGTTTGTAAGGTTTCTAAATTTTTATATTTAAACAATTATTTTTTTTCATAATAACCGTTATTATTGTCATTAAATAAATGAATTTTATTAATATCTTATTGAATTAAGGGTAAAGATGGAAAAAATAATTTTTGTTGACTAAATTTTTAATATGCGTGTTTTGTCAAACCATGTAAACAAAATGTGATGGAAGGAGTATTACTTACTTATATACATAGGGCCTCTGTTTTCATGGAAAATAGAAGTGAAGCTTCAATAAGTTGCCAGTTATTAATGAATGATTTGGAGTTATATTCTAATTAATAATTATAGATGAGCTTTTTTCAATTATCATAATTTTATTTTAATATTAATTTTTTAATTTAAATGAACATAGTAGTGATGTGTACGGAAAAACATAATAAGTTTTAACGGAAAATCAAATTGAAGTTTGAACTAAAATTAAATAATTGAAACTTCACAACGGTGGTCTGTTGATATTTACTATCTAAATAGATGAAAATTAATTTTCAATTTAGTTAATTAATCTCAATTTAGTTAATTAATCTGATGAGTTCGACTAGAATCAACATATCTCAAATTTTTTGCAAGTCAAATTGAAATTCAAATGATTTTGACTCATTTACATTTTTAGTCATGGACACAAAAATTAAATAAAATGTTCTTGTGATACCGATAGATAATTTAATGGTAGTGTACTTGTTTATAATTTTTAAAGATCCATCCTATTTAAAAATTTCAATCTATCAAAAAATGTTTAGTTATTCTTATGCCCCTCAACCATAAGAATTATAATTGGTTGTGCTCCACAATTTATTAGGACAAAAAAAAAAAAAAAAATCCTACAGAAAATGAAGAATCCACATGCTTTAAAGATATCTATTTTTCCTTGTCAGTTAAGGAGGAGAAAGAAGATCATACCTCGTAGTAAAATGTGTTGCCCTGATTCATTTTGTCATTTTGCTCGATTGTTATTCGAACATCAGTAGGAAAAACAGGTAATTGCACTTGAATACCTTTCACCGAAGATAAACTTTCATTAAATAACATTTTAAAAATATTTTGTTCTATTAATATTAATGCCTTTCACGAATCCACTTACCAGAGTATATTCGTCGTTTCCAGAAGGATAAACGATTGCTGCTGGGAAATAATTCAGACATGTTTGATAATTCAATCAAAGGGGTAGTCTTGTGAATGGTTCTTGTCACGGCTAGTCTTGGGCAACGCTGGATCAGATCCAGTGAAATGTCTTGTGTTTGTAACAAAAGAAAGAAATTTGTTTTAGTGAAATTTATTTACAAATAAAATGAAGAAAGAAAATATTCTTACCAAACATTTTGCTGAAAAAAATTTATTTACAAATAAAATGAAGAAAGAAAATATTCTTACCAAACATTTTGCTGAAAAAAGAGACGTGGAGAAGCTCAGCTCCTAATGTACCATTCTCCGGAAGTAGCAATTCAAATGGAGTTTTGGAGTATAAAAACCAGGTCAGCTCTCTGAAGCCTTTTTCACATGCAATGTTGACGGGTAGATCTACACCTGCTGGTATAGAAACTAATTTATTGTTCTTTGTTAATAGCAAATCCACGATCCTCATAGATCCAGTTCCAGCAGCAATACACAAAGCGCTGGTGTCATCGTCATCAAGTATTTCTAGGCCTTCTATTGACATTAAGTTAATTAGCTCCTCTGCAATGTTTACTTTGTCACTTATGGTTGCAAGATGAAGAGCTGTTCGACCGCCTAATGCTATCTTTTCGTTTATTGCATCTGGATGAGCTTCAAGAAATTCTGTAACAGTGTTCAAATCTCCTTTCTCTATAGCTTTGCATAGAGGTAGAAAACTTTCGTATTGATCCCCTCCTGAAATTTTTAATCTTTTCAAATTGTCAACTTTTAGCTTTTCACACAGATAAGAAAATGATTAATTTACCCTAATTCTATAAATTTTTCATTTCAAATTACCGCAACATCCTTTTACCTTCCATAAATCCCAACCTTTCTTTTATTGTTAATAGGATTCAATAAATGAAGATAAAAATTCTGAAAAATGACACTTAAAAAAAAACCTTAAAAATTAATTCGAATGGTTTGAATGGAACAGAGGAAGTGCTTCATTTCCTACAACAACTAAGATTAATTCCATTCCAATCCTTCAATTTTGACTTAATTCTAAATACATTGGGCATAAAAGCTGTGGCCATATTCCGATTTTTGGAACCGGAACCGTAACTAGGACATTGCGGTTCAGTTCCGATTCTAAATTTTTTAGAACCGTGAACCGACGGTTACAAAAACCAGCCAGAACCGAAGGTTTTGATAACCGGTTAGAACCGGCAATTCCAACTGGTTTCCACATATTTTTTTTTTCAAAAATTTTTATTAAAATCTCTAAATTATGTTGTGCGGTGCCCACTCAAGTGGGACCCACAATAAATTTGAAAAGAAAAAAAAAAAAGGAAAACGTGTTAAAAAAAGGAAAACGTGTTATTTGAAAATGTAAAAAAGTTGGCAAAAGGTTGGCAACCAACCATTACCTAAATGGAGAGCCGTGTGTAACTCACACACTGTTCTTGCATTACCTCTCCTATTTATAGGAGAGGATTTGCTTCATTTAATGCACACACCAGAAAGAAAGAGAAAATGTAGAAAGAGAGAGTGTTATAGTTTTAGGATGGGTTTCCTAAAACTGGGAGAGAAAAATAGTGAGGATATTATTTTGGGATGTTTTTGGGAAACACTTTGTGTGCCACTATTTTTGTATTACTCTCTTTGTGTACCTACTATTTTTAATAGTGGAAAAATGATTCGGAGTAAATGATTCGGGAGTTTGTTCCGTGGACGCTAGCCTAAATAGTGAGGGTGTAACCAGCACGTAAAGTTTCTGTGTGTACTACAAGTTTACTTTTCCCGCTGCGTTAATTTTCACTCTTCAAGTTGTGGAGAGAAAGGGCCCACAAGTGGTATCAGAGCTGATGCTCAACATCAGTGGTAGCAGAGGTCTGATTCCTTTAAGCATATGGCTATCAGAGCGAAGGTTGTCATCAGCAAAGTCCAGGCCGGTCAGAGTAGCAGGTACCTGGTCTGTGGATATATTTTGAAAATACAATATAAACCGGAGGCATAAAGAGAAAATTAGAAACGAGTCCATTGGTGGCTGGTTATCGCGATCGGAAAAAGAATGTTGCCAGAGAATCGAATTTAGTGATGAGAATAGTAAAATAGTAACGTACACAGTTGAGATGGTGAACAGTACTGAAGTTTGCGTTACTGTTGCTGCTCACACCACGCACGGCGAGCTAGGTCACTGGTTAAGCCAGCAAGCTATTTACGGTATATGTATATTTGTACAGCGTGACGGTAGGCTCATTTCACGTATAGTACTATTTAAGTGTACAGTTTAACTATTTAAATGCATTAACAAGTTATACTAATTGCGAGTAATACTATTACTGATTCATGGTCACATATTCACGCGTATAACTATCTATTCCACTGCCGTATAACGGGTTAAATGTTGGTGATGATATTCGGCTGTGGCACAAGTCAAAATGGGACAAGCAAAGATGATCAGTCTGAATCGGCGCGTATTAACTGTAGGATGGGGGAGGACTTTTCGAGAAGTAGGAATTAGTGGGGGTTCGACCAGAAGCCCCGCAAGGCGTAGATAAACAAAGGGTGAGGAAATTGTAAATATAAAAATAATAAGATTTAATTAGGAGGGAAAAAAAAGATTCGCTGTAGCGATATGTAAGAAGCAGCTACGAATGTGGAGTAAAAGTGCAGTAGAAGATGGGCTAAAACTGCGGAGTGAGGCTCCTCAGTGTTGGATGCGCAGTTTCATTCACTACGCGCAAAGGAAGGAAAGCATAGAGGTAGATCGACGAATGAAAGCTGAAAAGTCCAATGGGGAAATCTGTAGGGAAAAAAGGGGATCCTCGGGCTACCTCGGATGTATCTGACGGTCTTACCGCGTTGGATACCAGTGTAGGATATATATGAGGCTTCGCCACAGTAACAAGGATATGAATCCTCTGCCGTGTGACGAAAAGTAGAAGGGGACAAGTGATTTCTACCATATGAATATCCCATCCCCAAATAACCAGATTCGGGAGCGGCGCGAGAGACTGTGCGCGACCGAATCATCCTAAGCCACATAATATGAAGCAGATATGCATAAGTAAAAGAAGGGTATCTCGAGCGAGGGCATATATGGGAGAAATAAGAATGAGAGATTCTCCTTATGGTAGATCAAATGCTATTTGCCTATGTTTAGCGTCTCAATAAATCGGAAGACAAGACTGATGAGGATACTTGGGCTTTCGAGCAATGCAATGCGCCAAAATCTCGGTCTTGGTAGATTGATGATGAAGGTTTCCTGTAGCCACCTTCAGAAAATGGTCAGTAGGAAGCTCACAAAGGTTCATTTGTGTTAGCTTAAAGACGCAAAAGTCTGTAATCGTGATGCATGCGAAACTCTCCCACGACACTTTGAGGGCTAGTGGCAGAATGACAGTGACAGTTGAAATGTGGCAATAAAACGACTTGCACATGAGTAAGAAAACATCTAGCAGAAGGTAACGTACTACCGTGGACTTGGAATGAAGATTCACCGTAGACAAGTGTCCGCTGATTGTAAGTGGCGGGAAAGCTAAACGCATGAGTAGCTTTTCAATTATTACCACTCTTCAAGAATGAAGAATGTATTTAAAGTTGATTACATTCAGATTTGTGTGGACCGCATTGATGAGTCATAGTGGTGGACAGAATCGATATTTTGTGATAGTTATCGATGACAATTCTAGAAAGAGACCTGGGTATAAGTAGATCGTATCGCTCGCATCTGAAAGTCTTTCTAAAACTGGTTGAAGAGACAAACAGGCAAGTAAGGCTGAAGTTTTATCAGGTATAGATACATGGGTGGAAGATACACTGGGCCAATTTTAATGCTTTAGTCTATAAAAAAGCATGACATTGCGACATCAAACCCAAGCAGCTCCCAAGACGCGCAACTGAACGGGTTTCCGCTGAAAGGCGATGAACAGAACTTTGATGGAGAGGTCAGATGTTTGTACTCTCACATGACGAATGTTTGTTCACAAAAAAGATATGTGGGGTGAAGGTGTACTACACAAAAGCAGTTCGCTGTTTCACCGGCGATATCTGTTCCCTATACTATGTAAATGAGACTCCAAAGAGAGTATGGTTAGGGCAAGGTAATGTTTTCTATGATCTTTGCGAATGTGGAGGGCTGTGTGTAAAAAGCTTCGTACAATGTCGCCGAAGGAATGAATGGTCGAACTATTGGATGTCAAGACTAATAGTTTGGTGTAATTCATATTTGGCTAATGGCCAAGAACCAATGGTGGCTATAGGGTTTTAAATGACCTCAATCACACAGAAAGACGATTTAAGAAAATGCGTGATGCTGCTGTATTTGTTGAAGATCAGACTATTGAAGATATTAAAGCAGAGTGCCAATAGATCTGATGAAGACTCAATAGACATACAGAGAGTCCCTCCAATAGACCTCAAACAAATTGGAGATGAGGAAAATGTTCTACAAGAACAAGTGCCGGAGTTAGAAAATCTAGAAGTTCTTAATCAGAATGAACCAGATGAAGATTATGGTGTTCATGTTCAACCACCAGCACCGGAGGGTTCTCAAACATTAAGAAGATCTAGTAGAGTCTGACAACCATCTACTAGATATCCAGTCAATGAGTATGTACTAACGACTGACGGGGGAGAACCTGAAGGGGAGAACCTGAAGCTTGAAGAAGCTGATAGAAAATGAACACAAGGAGGAACTAGAAATGAAGCCATGCAGAAGAGAATGAAGTCCTTGCATGAGGGATGAACATTTGAGCTGGTGACGTTGCCCTAAGGCAAGTAAAGCTTTGAAGAAACAAGTGGGTGTTCAGGATGCAGCAGGAGAACACAGCTCCCAACCAGACGATTTCAAAGCCTAGACTGGTTTGTGAAAAGATTCAATCAAAGAAAGGGTATTTGCTTGAATCTTTCTCACGTAGTTGTGAAAATGACATCCAATCGAACAGTGCCTCGGAACGGCCATGCGCACCAGTTTGGAACTGGAATCAAGGAACAATGGATGGACAAAGACTACCTTTCCTACATGGAAGAGATTTTGGAAGAAGAAATATACATGGAAGCAGTCAGAGGGTTTCATAGAAAAAGAGGATTGTGCTTAAAAGAGGATTGTGTTTGCAAACTAAAGAAGAGCCTGTACGGCTTGAAGCAGGCACTGAGACAGTGGTACAAGAAGTTTGAGTTTGTTATGGGGGAGAAAAGCTATAGAAAGACTACTTCAAATCACTATGTTTCTATTCTCTGATGATAACTACATTGTTTTTGCTCTATGTGGTTGATATGGTGATTGTTGGTCAAAATTACTAGCTTGAAGATACAACTAAGTTTTTTTGTTATGAAAGACTTGGGACCAGCAAAGCATATTCTTGGCATGAAGATCGAAGAGACATGAAATTATGGTTGTCACAGGAGAAGTACGTTGAGAAAGTACTTCAAAGGTTTAGAATGGAGAACGCAAAAGCGGTTAGTTGTCCTCTTACTAATCACTTTCTCTGGTGTTACTAATTCACTTTATAATTGATTCTAAACAGTGCCCGCTTCTAACGGTGATAGAGAAGAAGGACAGAAAGTGAAATGCATAGAATTGGTTCTGTAGTAGGACTATCAGCGCAGGTTGGAGCAGACTTTGTGTATGTGATTCAGGGTTCCATGTGTTTCTGTACAGTCTTCAATAACACTGAAACTGGCAGATTGTTGCGCTTCACTCAATTGGGAGTAAGTGAGTTCGGTTCATTTCAAATCCTGGAAGCGACAGTGGACTAATTACAGTGAAATACTAGGTGTTCAGGATATCGCAACTCGACAAAAATGGAAGATAGGTGTGTGTGGCAGTCGAGTAGCCAGGAGATGGAGCACGGGTAGTTAGAGGATGGATTATGAGCCAAGATGTTTAGGACTTGTTGTGGGCGTGAAAACAGGTAGGGCTAAGAGTGGGAAGGGCTATAGAGCGCCGGTGATCAATGTAGTATTATGGCCAGACGTCAAAGATTACTATGAAGGGCGAATGGCTGGGCGCTACAGAGGAGAGTTGGTTGAATGGTGGGTGCTGAGTGATGGCGTCAACAGGACCAAGGTAGAAAAGTATAGACTGCCAAGGTGGTTGACCGCCTTGGGTCGAGCTATAGGGTCTTCTCCGATTGCCTGACAAGTAGGAGGTCGGAGGCAGTGGAGATGAAAGTCGTATGTCGTTTCGCGAGGACAGCTGTTGTAAGCAAGCTGTGATCGCGGTACATGGGTGGACAGATGGGTGGGGGGCCACAGGTACTAATTAGATTATAGCGTGGCAGGATGCATGGATGGCTAATCGTCCCCCGATCGTATAGAGTGTGGCCAGTGAGGGGATGAGTTTGGTGCTCGGGCACGGTCGCGAGGATGGGGACAATGAGGCACAATTGTGGATGTACTTAGGGTCCGCTAAGTGAGACTTAGCACAATAAATTTGAAAAGAAAAAAGAAAAAAAAAAAAAAAAAAAAGGGAAAACCGGTGTTTATTTGACAATGTAGAAAAAAGTTGGCAGATTAGGTTGGCAAACCGAACAATAGCCATTTACCTAAATGGAGAGCATCTCGTGTGTAAACCTCACACACGGTTTTCTGAGCATTACCTCGCTCGAATCGGAAGGCACCTTCCTATAAATAGGAGAGGATTTGCTTCATTAACGCACAACACCAGAAAGAAGAGAAAATGTAAGCAAGAGAGAGTATTATAGTTTAAGATCGGTTTCCTAAAACTGGGAGAGAAAAATAATGAGGATATTATTTTGGGGTGTTTTTGAGAAAGCCTTATTGCTGCTGCCATGCTATTTTTGTATTACTTCTCCTTTTGTGTACCTACTAACCTTTTTAATAGTGGAGAAGAATGCTTCCGGAACGTTTGTCCCCGTGGCCGTAGCCTAAACAAGTTTTTTTTTGAAGGGGTTTGGCAGAAATGTTTTCCAGATAACCCGTTTATCAATGGTTTTTCTGTGATGTCACAAGTTTACTTTTCCGCTGCGGGTTCACGCTGCGTTAATTTTCTCTTAATTGGTTGAAAGGGCCCAATAAGTGGTATCAGAGCTGATGCCCAACAACTGGTATCAGAGCTAATTCCTAACAAATTAACCCTCCTAACAACTATAAACAGTTATATAACGTCTAATTATGTTAAAGGTATTTATGCAAGTTAGATTTTTTAGTTTTAAAATTTATGAACTGCCTGGAAAATTGGTCAAAGAAACATTCGATTTTGAAACCGTTAAAAAACCGAAACCGTCAATTTTCAGTTCAATTTTGGAACTGTGAATTCAATTACTTTTACCTTCATCTACCACATTTTCTTCTTGTGCATTTTTGCCAGAGTATCCCAACAAACTTTAGCGGAGTTGATTTTTCTGATCCGAGAAAGTTGTTCTGATGTGCAAGAAATTTGAATTACATGTAAAGCAGTTGCATTCTTTTTCCTCCAAATTTTAAACTCAGCTTCAGCTTCTTCTCGACTAGGAGGTTCAATGTGTACTTCTATCATGTCCCATAGATCATTGGCCAACAAATAATTTTTAATGCAAGCGCTCCAGTTAGCATAATTATGCTCGGTCAATAATTCAGGAACTATATTTGTTGCCATAACTAATCTGTAAAGTCATCACATAAAATGACAAATGGTAAATAAAGTCATCAGCAAATAAAATGACAAATGGTAAAAGTTATTTCAGATTATTTATCAGAATGAGTCATGCTTTAAGAAATAATGAGGCATTTAGATGTTGATTTTTTCACAGCGCACATGTTTAAGCTGGAACTTTTTTTGGACCAATGCCCTGTGATTTTTGACACTTGATCGATAGGCATGAATAATACTACATGATATAAATTAATTTAGTTATTATTGATTGTTATTGATTGCTATTGCCGAGATAATTTGGATATTTCTTATAATTAACTAATTCTCTGCGTAATTGATTATAGTTCGATATACTTGTGTTTTAGTAGTTTCTGTCTACCGACCGAGGTTACGTGTGACAACCGAATACCGTACTGAGCAGTTATGGAGGATAATTGCTGGTACAAGACGACTTTCGCAAACTGTCCCGTAGGGGCTGTAGTGGAGCCCTTAGGGAACTTGTGAAGCAATGTCATCACACTACGATCTCTTTGTTTAGAAATACCAGATTCCACGCGCTCACATGAATCGTGTGTCTCGTCCCAATACTATAAAAACTCAATATGAATGCGGGAGGACTATTGCAATAGCTCTTACTTATTTCAACAGTCCATTGTTCAAAGGTTATTGTAGGCAGAGAGATTGAATTTTTCTCATGTTTTGTTCTTTTTTTTTTGTTTTTTGTGAAATATGCGCCCATATGATAACTGTTAGCAGAGATCCGAGAGTTTTAGCGACAGGTTTTGTGCCATGTCTACCGGCGTGTCGACGCGAAAAAGTCGACAGTAGATAGCCGTGCCGGTGTTTTTTTCCTAAATGTATTTTTTTTTACATGTATAAAAGAATGGAGTCAAGTTAATGCAAAGATAAAATTTTCAACATAAATTTTTTCTGTTATTTTTCTAGTGTGTTTTGAGGAGGGATAATATGATACAGAGAGTGAAAGAATTGTTTTATTAAAGTAAAAAATATTAGAATATTATCCGTACTAAAGGAAAATGATTAATCGTGAAGACGTTTTAAAAAAAAAAAAATAGCGTAAGGACTTATGTAAAGACTGAAATTATGTTAGTACCTTTGGAAATTATTAATTTTTTCACATTATCCTGCAATGTTTTATTAATCTTGAAAGTGAAAAGAACTAACGATTTTTTTATTTATGATGTTTTACACAGAGTAGGATCAATGAATTCTTGAACTATCTTGGGCTTGTGTTATTTTGTTATCACTGGCAACGATTTTTATTATTTAGATACATTGATATAAGCTGAAGGTAGAAAATTTAAGTCTTTTATAAGTAAAAAAAACGATTAAACTAAGATTTATTGAAGATATTTGATTTGATTTTCTGACATTGATGCCTACCTTCGTTTTGACGCCATACCCTAAGATTTTTGTCCTATATTCACAAAAAATGAGGACAGAATGGTATACATTCTTCCCAGATTGATTACATATTGGCCGGACATGATAAGACTAACGAACCTGACAACTTTTTGTGATATAGCCAGAAGATTCATCTTAAGCAAAGACGAATAAAAATTTTGGTAACTTCCATCTGAACACCTTGACTCAGATATATAAACTAGTTAAGATAAATAAGATTTTATACAATAATCAAGAGGAAAAAGAAATTTAAATAGAGAAAAGAAAAGGGAATGGAATGAAAAAGAAGAAGGCTTGAAATCTATCGCAAACAATTAATTGAAAGAAATTATATATCTAAAATGAAATGAAACTGACCCTTTGAACTAATTGAACCTCAATATATAACTATTAAAAAATAAGATTTTATAAATATCAAGAGAAAAGAAATTAAATAGAGAAAAGAAAAGGGAAGGAATGAAAAAGAAGAAGCTTGAATCTATCGCAAACAATTAATTGAAAGAAATTATAATCTTAAAATGAAATGAAAACTGACCCTTTGGAAACTCAATATGGCTCTTCCTCCAAATTATTCTTCTTCCACCTTTTCTCAGAAAGAACTCCAGCCTCTCTCAGAAACTCACCTTTGCATGATGATTTGCAGTTATATTTATACATCTATAAACAGATCAGTTATATTCATCACTCATTCCATATTAGTAACTACTAAACTAAGTTAACTAGATTTTCTATCTCTAACCAAATAGGAAACGTAAAAGAGTTAATAAGGAATAAGCTACAAAAAGCAAGTGGTTGATGTGATTTTATTTTATTAGATGAGTCTATAGCTAACGTGATAGACTCATTTTACCTAAGAATTTATCCATTAGACATTGGATCATATGTTAATTTTTTAAATATAACCTAAAACTCAAATTAAATTAAAACTTAAACTCCAAGTACATGCAAGCTTCAAACTAAATTAATTCCAAATTAAATTAAGACCAAACAGTCAAACTAAATTAAACCCAAAATTTTTTTTTTTTTTTTTCAACCGCTCTCAAGTTTAGAATTTGATTCCAATAATGTGAAACGTGGAAGTCAAGTTTAGAATTTGATTGCAATAAAGTGAAACGTGGAAGTCAAGTTTAGAATTTGATTCCAATAATGTGAAACGTGAATCATATTCATACGAAGGGAAAAGTTTGATTTTGGTGCTTATATTGTTGTGATTGATGTTGGGATTTATAGGGTTGTAGCCAAATACATATTGGAGGCCAAAGGAATACATCAATTCCTTTCCTCTAACAGTAACTAAAGTCAAAGGTGACCTTCATCCACCATAGTGACCATAACTCTTTCCACATATGGAATTTCAAAAATAAAATTGGCGTCATTACTAGATAGAAAAAGCTTTCCAAAAATATATGACACGTTAAAGTTCAGATTGAAACAGGCCTATAAACGCTCAAATCAAATTAGATTAACCAGATTAGACTAAATCCTAATCATTTGGTCATTAGGTGGTGACTGCCCAGCCTAGTGGTAACCGCCTAGGCTTGGTGGTTAACCACAAACATATAAATCCATTCATGCACCGTAAGCTAACTATAGTTAACCAACACTACATAAACCTCTTGTGCATCATGAGTCACATCTAACCATGCTGCCACACCTTGCCTATGCACCATTGGCTAACCATAAGGTGTCTGTCTTGCTCACTTGTGATTACCTTCTTTATTTATCAATTTCCTATTTACGCTCGCCAAAAACTCTAATAGTTTAACAATATGTATTGATCACATTTATCCCATATAGAGGAAATCAACATGATTAGGGTGAATGATTATAGAATAATTAACATTTATTTTTGGAACTATATGGATATAAATTAAACTAGCATATTAAATTTATGATGAGAAATTTTGCAACATGTATAGAATGAATGTATGTTAGTAAAATAAATATGATGCATAATGATATAAATGTGAACACACACATATATATAATGCGATTAGACTAGTAATATAATGTGAATGTTACCAAGTTAAAATGACGCGGGATCACATGTGAGAGAATTATGAATGATGCTTATAAATGATATAATAGATTTTTTTTCAAAATTATTTTCCTATTACAACTCCACATTTTCAACCCATCATCCAACACATCTCATAAAAACTCAACAAAAATAATAAATCAGTTCCTTTTAATTGAAAGCATTATCATCCAAACACATCCTGATAAAACTAAACTAAAAATGAATAAAGGTCAGGTTTTCTTTTAGATTGAAAGCATTTAAGATATTCATTACATGCGCCATGAAAATATTCTGACTCTGAAAATGAATTGTTGTTTCAAATATTTAGTTATAACATTTGTGACTAATAAAAAAAATAAATGATACTTGCTATATCGATGCGTCATTTAAGATATTCATTACATGCCATAAAATATTCTGACTCTGAAAATAAAATTGTTGTTCCAAATATTTAGTTCATAACATTTTGACTTAAATAAAAAAAAAATATTCTAATGCGTTAATTATATTTACATGCTGCTAGATTTTCCTAAAGACTGAAATAAAAGAGAAACCGGTTGCACACTCACTGTAATGGAATAGAGGCCTCTGAATATTCTGATGCATGTTGTGGATTGTTTACCCCAAATCAGCAACCTGTGTGTGACAAGTCAACGTGTTGAGTATAAACTTAGTGGTGCTTATTTCCCATTTATAACAGGAAAATACACATAAGCAAACATAATATCACATATATATATGCACAACATTTTATCGTAATCAGACAACTTAATCATTATATCATATAAATCAGTATATGTTCATAAAAACAACATAATTATATATTTAATTAATTTATGAAAACTATGTTTATGATGTTTGTTAATTATGGTCTTTTAAGCGATACTTAGGAGAAAATATGCAGATGAGAATTGCATGAATAAAATAGTCAGCTTGGAAAGCCTATATAGACATCATAAGTGCGGACTGCGGCCGACTGAATCAATGGTCGTGGGTGATCGTAATAGCCCCTATTAAATTGGGAGTTCGTTAGCTTCATACCGAAGAATCAGATTCGTTAGCTCTGCTATAGGAGACACTGCGCGGTCACGATATGATTGGCGTATGGTAGTGCATGTCATATGAGGCATGGTTATCCTCTATACAAATACTAACGACAGACTAAGAGTAGAGCTAAGACAGATAAAGATATAAAGTTTATTATAATTATATTCATGTCATAATTTCATACGGTCTCCAATGTTGCATGAGATAAGACATGCCAGTTCGTCATAATTACAGTCAGAATAAGTTTTATCACAGTCCGAGAAAATTTATTTCTTTAATCAATCGAAATTCTAGTTTATTCATAAAAATCTATATTTTCCGATACTAACATATTCTAGTCATAAAGTTGATTTCCATAAAATTCACGTGCAATAATTCACAGTATAATGTGTACTGTCAGTTGAGTAGATGCATAAACCGAATTCTTATAGATGATTCTGCAGTAAATCTATAACTCAGTATATACACTAAAAACCTCCTTTTATCTCATAACAATAATATTTCTAGGCCCGTGAATGACCGAACTGAAAGGTCATGGACTTGACCCAAGTTAAATCTATGAATCAATGCATAGAATTTTTGCACGAATGCCTGTCATAATTTCTATGTCAGACGGCCATAAGTGCCCATGTAATACCCTTCTATCACACTTTCTAATATGACATAATTCTGCTACTGTGGATAACAGGTTCCCAATATCGCTAATTTTTTAACATAGTTATATGAGTTCACGGCATAATATTAAATCATATTTCACTTATTTCAATGAATTTTGCTCAGATAGTGCAAATTGGGACTTAAGTGG